TTTACAATAGCTAAGATCTGGAAACAGCCCAAGTGCCCATCAGTAGATGAGTGGATAAAAAAGCTGTGGGACATTTACACCATGGAATACTACGCAGCTGCAAAAAAGAAGAATCTAGTACCCTTTTGGACAGTATGGATGGATCTGGAGAATATTATGTTAAGTGAAATAAGNTACCCTTTGGGACAGTATGGAGGGACCTGGAGAATATTATGCTAAGTGAAATAAGTCAGGCAGCGAAAGACAAATATCACATGATCTGGCTTATACATGGAATCTAAAGAACTTAATAAACTGGTGAACAGAATAGATTCAATGACATGGAAGGATAGCTGACACTGACGAATGTCAGAGGGATGGAGGAGGGTGGGTGGGTAGAGGGGGAGAGAATAACCAAAAATTTATATGCATATATGCACAACCCAACGACAGGGACAGTGGTAGGGAGAGGGACTGGGGAGGGGGAAGCGACTGGGTGTAACGGGTCATTGGGGAGAAAAAGGGACATCTGTAATATTTTAAACAAAAATAAAATTAAAAAAAGAAAAGAAAAAAAAAGATGATTATATTTTCCTTTCCCATCATCATCAGCACCAATCATTATCCTTATTTTGAGCTGCAACCTCAAGTGCCTCCCTGCTCTAAATTCTTCTCAAAGCTGTCAAACTCCCCAAATATTCAACCAAAATATAGCTGATTCAGTCTGAGTTAATAGTCATTAAGAAAACGAAATGAATGTACTTTTGAAGAGCCGTAAACATGCCTCTATTGAGAGTATTTTGTCATCATTTCAAAGCTGGTATGACTATTCCATTAAACCACCCTTTGTTTCTTAATAATTTCCCATATTTTTGTGGGGTCCCATGTACTTAGTAGTCAGCTGGTTTCAAAATCATAGGAAACTTATTCTGTCTTTTAAATAATGTTTGTGGGTGATTTTTTCCTCAAAGACTACTCTGATTCTTGGTTTACACACTGATCAAATATTCAAGCAACAAAGCTCTGATTAGCTAGGATAGACTGAGTGTAGGAATCACACTAATACTTAGCCATAGAAACATAGAGAGTTTAATACAAATTTATCAATTTTTATTTTCCTTTCCTATGAAGTTTATGTTATAAAATGTCTTCATTGTTTTAGAAGTTCCCAACACCAGAAGCTAATTTAAAGTTGAACAAAAATCTCCAGAATCTCAAATTTCTTCCGCCTTCACTTCTCTCAACCCCATGTGCATCTATTACAATTATATCAATAATGCAAGGCCCAGTACAAATCCATCAACTGTAATACCTTTTGTGTTGTGATCCCCTGCCCCTTCTCTTCTCCAAGCTAGGTATGTTCCCTCTCTCCTCCATATTCTTGCATACTTGGTGATTCTCTATGCTACCATCACAGTATGTCTTGCTATTGCAACTTACATGAGTATTTGTTGTTTGTCTCACATTTAGTTTGTGATTACTAGAAGTCAGGGACTATATCTTATTTATCTATTTCCCATATTGTCCAAAAGGACATGTGCATATTAAGGATACAATATTTGTTGAATACATAAAGTAATAAAGAATCAAATAAATGGGTTTCTTTGATTAACTATAACTTTTGCTCATATATGTCCTTATATTATCTCATCACCAAAAGAAAGACTATATTAAAAAAGCTAGTTTACATGATACTTGGAAAGAGGGCAGAGAGGCCATGTTCCAAACTAATGAGACATAAGGAGAGATTATAAAAATTATTTGTTTCATTACCTTGTGGTTATGAAATTTTGTAAAATAGTATTCTCATCATGATAATGATAATGTTCTAAATTACCACAAATATTTGCTTAATGTTTTGAAGTTTTTAACCTATATTTTACTCCAGACAGCCAATCACAGAAAAAAGAGATTATTACTATGACCTTTATTTTTGCAGTTGAGGAAAAATATTCAGGCAGGTTAAATGTCATATCCAAGGTTATTCAGCTCTTAAGTGACAGAATCAGAATTGGAACTTTGGTCTTTCTGACTACAAGTCCTCTATGGTACGTACTACCCTACAACTGCTTTTCAAACACCAAAAAGATAAATAGTGTGTACTTTGTTTCACCCCATCAACATGAATGGTTTTTGCATACTTTTCTTTGTCATTAGTCTGGCCACTCCTCCCAAACACTGTGCTCATTATTGAAAGACAGGAAGCCTGAATTAAAGGTGAGATCTGTGATGATGGAATGAAAACAGACAGCAATAATAAAACAACAAACAAAAAACACCTCATCAAGCCTAGTCATAAATAAAACTGTATGCTAAGCAACTGAGTCGATGAGTTTTATGTTTTTACTGAAGATTCAGTGGTATTGCTAATATTTTATCAAAATTTATATGTAATTAACACCTTTGTCTTCTTCTAAATCATGATTCTTACCTTTATAACAGAGGCCCCAGCTCTAGAGAGTGGGCTGTGAATCTGGGCTGCAGCAGCCATGTTGGCAATAGTATTTAGATGGTTCATCTGATTCATTGCCATGGCAACTGATGCAGGAGGTAAGCTGACTGGAAGTAGAGGATGAGGCATCACCATAAATGGCAGATCCAGTCCTAAAAGAGACAGTGCATGCTAAATTATTACACTTGTAAAATTATTTTGACAATGGGAAATCACACGAAAAATTGACGCAAAGCAAAAAATGAGTTTATCTTTCTGGGTTTCTTAAAAACAACTTTTATTATATTCTAATATCTCTTTGGGCAATTAATATTACCCATGGAGTTTAATATTGTTTATAATTTAAAAATCTACCTATTCCATATACTACTATTTTTCAATATTCCGTGTTCTTGCTCTCACTCCCAAAGTATTTATAAGATTCAATCTGTTTACCTAAAACAAAAATCTTTAAGCTAAACATTATTTTCTTTAACTAAAAGCAACAACTACCTTTTAAGTCATTATAATATATTGATGTGTTCATACTTTATAGCTTAACACTTTCTTCAAGAGACATAATAGTGGTGCTGGTAAAACATGATGTAGATTCTCTAGACTCAGAATTATTGAAGAATTTAAGACTTGTAATATGTTCTACTCTGTAGCTATAAATCTTTCAAATGAATGCTTATAGCTCTAACTTGAAGCCTTTGTCAATAAGGAATAACTCCCCTATCAAATATCAACCTGCATTCCAGTATAATATCAATTTCAAATATTTTGAGCAATGTCTAGAATTCTTTTTTCTTATGCAAGGTGAAATCATTTTCACACATTTTAAATTTCTTAAACAATATCTCTCAAATGTTATCGACATTTACACTTGTGGTAGCCACAGATATGTCATAATGGAAAATGTAACAAATTAAGAGAGTTGTCTAGTTACAACTTATATGTTTGAAATTTGTGAGGAAACACCTTTGACCAGAGCTAGGGAAAGTTAGTGTAACATGATGCATATTAACATGACTATGGTAAGTAAACCATAGAACTTTAAAATGTATTTTAAACTATTGCCTTGATAGTAATCTTGACTTCTTTTGGACAGAAGCGCAGAAACTGGTAATCTTTAACAGATGTTGTAAAACATCCTTTCTTATAATTTTCCTAAATTGCTACAGATTATAGAAATTCTACAGTGGAAATGTTTGTATTAGTTCTATACACAATAATCAACTATTAATAACATCCTTTTTTTCCTCTTTACTATCCCCTCATTTTTTTTGCCTCCCATATCACAACAAGTGAACAACAATGAATCCATAGGAAGTATATTCAGAGACCCCCTAAATCTTTCCTCAGTCAACAGTAACAGTAATACAGACAAACACTCAAAGCCCATATATTTGGGACAAAAAGGAGCTAGAAGGGAAAAATGTTAATTGATTTGAGGTCCATATGGGTTCAACAATGGTGGCTGAATTAAATCCATCAACAAAGATAATTCAAAGGCAGCACAATACAAAGAGTGAAAATAAGATGCTTTCAGATATGTTATGACATATTTCATACAACGCTAAAGTTGTATGAAAGTTGAGCATCTCAATTAAAGGAACTAAATAAAAACAATCATCAATATTTCTGATAGAGACAGCCACAAAATACACTGCTATCATAATTATACAAAGATTAAAAATAGCCAGGTGAGAGGAAAGATGGTGGCACTGTAAGAAGCAGCAGAGCATCCATGATCCCAGCCACAGAATTGATTTTCTCCAAAATACTACGTAGCAAGCTTGGAAAAACCAGAGAAACATACCTGAGTGGACATAGTGTGAGTAGGGAGCACTGAAGAAACATCATAGAGCCCTGTAAGGGGGGAGGGTGTAGAAAAGGGAAGTCCCCTCTGAAGCTTGTGCTAGGCTACTAGCCCAGAGGCTTGGAGGCTGCAAAACTCCCTTCCCTCAGGAATGTGGACCAGTATCCAAAAGTCGGGATCTCGAACCCAGAATGGAGGAGAGGGAAGGAGTGCCTCACACAGGGGAGCGGTGAGCCAACAAGGAGGGGACAGGGCTTTCCAAAGAAACAAATCTTCTAATAGCAGACGTGACCAGCATCTAATGTTCAGGGTTCTGACCATAGGAAAGGTAGTCCCAAAGCCTATGGCACCTGAGAAGTAAGGAACAAGAGGTCAGCACTGAGCAGCCACACACAGGGATCATCTGCTTCCCTGTAAGGCACTGTATTGAGCCCCAGAAAACATTTGATCTGTGTGGCGTGGGGAAGGGGAGGAGAGTTCTCCCACCCTGAGCTCCTGGTGCAGAGTGTGGGATTTGTGACAAGCCCTGAGGGGCACCATGGTGGCGCGTGGAGCTGCCCCAGCTTTGCTGAGATCAGCAGTGTAGGGAGCTGTACGGAGCTGACTTTGGGTCCCCTCCTGCTGGGTGCCTTGGTCTGCAGGCAGAGAGATCTTGCAGGATGGACTCTCTGCCTGTGTGTTGTTTTTTGCTTTTTTGAGTTCTGATCTCTGAACTGGCTCCCACCATTCGGCTTGCACTGGGCAGACAGACCAGCAGAAGCTGGGATTGGGGTCTGGAAGGTAGACCGTTTGAGGCATGGGCCTGGTGCCACCAGCCAACCAGAGCTGGGAAGGGGGGGCAAAGCACTGCTGCTTCTCCCACAGCTTGGGAGCACCACCCCCAATAGAAAAGGGGCTGGTCCAGCTCACTGAGGCCCCAGACACATGCCGCAAAGCACAGTCTTAACAGGGAAGGGAGAGCAGTTCACAGGAGGACATTACAAGAATAAGACTCTCAGGGACTGTTGTTTGGGAACTGGAGAAAAAGCTTAAAACCCCTGCAGGGGGCAGGGCAGGCAAAGGGCTCACCAGAATATTTTTTAATCGAACCCACTGAGCCCAGACTGCTGAAATGGCTCATACAGAAAAGGCAACAGAGTGAAATCAATCTGAAGTGGCAGCAGGCCAGTGCATGGGGAACTAGAATTGGAAGATAAGGTAGAGACTGAGGAGCTGACTGTGGAGCAGAGTAACTCCCTTACACTGAGTGCCTGACAGTGAAACCTCTAAGTAAGGGGAGTAATACCCTGAGCTACGCTAACCATCCTGCACCCTAAAGACTCTACAGAAGACTCAGGAGCAAGATCAGGCAATGACAAAGTTGCAAAAGGTGACAAGAGGAGGTGGTCCATGGAGAGCCTCAGATTAACCATCTACCTAAGGACACCAGAGCCAAACTTTGACAGGCTCCTCACATTGGCTGATACACAACTATCTCCCAGGAGAACAGAAATTAACCCACAAAACAGTGAGCTACCAACAACATAAGCTGCCCAGAAGAAACTCACCTGATTGACTGTCTTTTTTTCCTTCTGTTTTTTTGTTTTGTTTTGTTTTTGCTGTTGGTATTTTTTGGGTTTGTGTAGGTGGTTGTTTTTTCTCTTTTTCCCCCAGGAAGAAGAGAAGGAGGGGGGGAATTTATTAGTTTTTTCTTCTGTTTAAAATTTATAATAATAACTTTTTTTAATTAAAAAAATTTTTAACTAATTTTTTTCTTTTTTTAATAAAATAATTTGTTTTGCTTAGCTTGTTTTTTGTTTTTTTCCTCTGTTTTGTTTTCTTTATTTGCTTTGTTTCATTTTATCCTTGCTTCTACTATCAAGACTTTCTGGATATTCCCTGCTTAATGACTGGGACTTTATCATTACAACCAACAAGTTTACTGCTTTCCTTTAGAGTGTCTTTCAAATCTCTTATTGGACTCCCTCCCTGCCTGGGCTTTATTTCTCTCTCTTCTTGATCCATTGGAAAACTTTTTTATTTTTATTTTTTATTTTCTTTCGTTTGTTATCTTTCCTTTTGTCTTCCTGTCTTTTTGTTCGATTGTTAGTTTCTCTTATTCTCTTTATTGTATTTTGTTTTTGATTTTCAACTATTATTCTATTCCTATTCTCTCAATTCTTTGCTGGCCCTTCTCTCAGAATCTTTTCTCTGCCTCTATTATACCCCAGAGGCTTATCTATTCCGTACATTTTCATTTATTCTTACTATTTTCTAAATTTTCATCACTATTAAGAAAAATATATTTCTTTCTCTCTATGCTTTACTTTTCTTTCTCTTTTTCTCTTTTTTAAGTTTTTTTTTTTTTTTTTTTTTTTTTTTTTTTTTTTT